TTACAGAAGAAAAAGCTCCGCTCTCCTCATGTTTAGTCCAAAGACTCATATTCCAGTTTATTGAAAGTCAGGGATGCTGGCAGGAAAAGTGTCCCATGCTGCAATACTTGCCCCAGGTAAAGTGTCCAAAGAAAAATATGAAATCTTTTTTGTCACAGGTTGGTACAGAGAATACAAGTGTATTGATGAATACTTGATTAATGCAAATCAAAATCTGTTTCATAAATATTCTGAAGTAAGAGGGAGAAGTACCTGCCCCAGAAGTCAAGAGAGCTAAAAGCTGTGATTTCTTCCTTATTTGCTGCCTTGATGTCTGACTATCTCAGTGATGGCTTAAAAGCCTTATTCCCTTTAGTAGAAATCAGGGAATTGAGCTGCATGCCATTCTGCTTTCAAGAGAATTAGTATTTTAAATTCCTAAGCCAAATCTGGTGTTATCTATATTTGAGCAACCTTGGTGACAAAGCTAAAGGGAAAAACTTATGGCAAGGAAGGATATATGTTTGTTTTTATGCTTGTAAATTTTCATTTTGTGTACAGAGTGAGATAGTAGTTAAGCTGTGTATTTTTAATGCTTTCTGGCATAAACTTCAAGTGTCACTCAGTGGTTTCAGTTTCACTGTAAATCCTTTTCTAATCTCTTCCGTAGGTGCTTCACAATGTCTCTTTGGTGGTAAGTCGTTGCAGGAGCTTAGGAGAGGAGATTGAATTTCTGGAGAAATGGGGTGGAAAATACAATCTTCTCAAGACAGATATCATCGACACAAAGTGAGTAACTTTAGATGGAGCTTATGCAAATTTTACAAAGGATCTCTACGTAAGCAGAAGCAAAAGATGCTATGTTGGTTTTCATGAAAATGTTCTTTTATGCAATTATTTTTTAACAAGTCAACTATTTTTTACTACACTAGGACTGTGCTTGGAAATGAAACTCCCCTTGCATTCAGTCAATTTTCTCACTTTTTTATTTAATCTCCTCTTATTTACTGCTTTCCTGTTGGACTTGACTCTGTCACAGTGTAGCAATACAAAGCAAACAGAGCCAAGAATTTACCTGTGTAGCTTAGTGCTTTGTTTCTTTTATAATAGGCTCAAACTTTGATTTGCTCCAGCCAGTCTTTGAAAGATGAAAGCATTTAAATTAAAATTTATTTTCCTTAGCTTTCATTTTCTCCTACTGCTTCCCAATTTTGTTTCACGTCTCTGGAACAAGATAAAAGGATGAGGTGAAACGGTTTTTATTCCTTATGAGCATTCTTACCTAGGAAATGCCTGGTTAACTTTTATCTGCGTGCCTCGATGCTTTTTACTTACATTACTCTGTAGTACCCTTTGCAAGAGCATTCTTCTACTACATGCCAGAAGTCCCATCGAAGCTACATTTAGTTAAGTCAATAAAACAAGTGTGCAGGCAGCTTGTTCTCGGAAAGATTTATTGTGGGACAACTGTCTTCAAAAGGTCTTCTTTAGTCTTGCCATATTCTGTGCTACCCCAGGCATGTTTCGTGGGCATCACGTACTTGGTGATGGTCTTACCTTTTTATACAAAAAGATTCGACTCTGTTCTTCCTGGATGTTATCCTAGACAGATGAACTACACGGAAATCTAGTTTTCTAGATGGAAATTTGTCCTGATTTAAATAGGATTGAATTCATGAAACAATTTTAGAATTATGGTCCTGCTTAAAAGCTCATAAAACTTTATTTAGCTAGAAATGTTTTATGTTAACCAGAAAACTTATTTTTCATTATAATTCTGTGTTTTATAATTTTGAAAGGTTCTGCAATTAGATTTCATTTTAGGACAGAGTTCGAAGAAGACGTACATTCCATGATGTTTTTGTTTTTGTTTCTGACAGTGTGAAGTTCCTCTTCTCCACTTCCACTGCTTTTGCAAAGTTTGAGTTGACACTGTCTTTATCATCCAACTACCCATCTTCTTCGCTGCCTTTCACTGTTGAAAAAAAAATTGGGAATATTGGGTGAGTTGAGCAGAAAGAACCACCCCACATGACTTATATTTCAAAGCTAGAGCCAGGAAATTAAATGTTCTTCATCTTTTCAAACGCGTGTCACTTTATCTTTTCCAGACATGAGGAAATTTCTGCTGTTCTCTCCAAAGTACCTATTGGTTACCACTATCTCCGAAGAATGGTGAGCTTGATTCATCAAAATCTGCTCCAGGATCCCAGATGATTGTTTAGGTCTACATGCAGGACTGAAGAAGTCAAGAGGACATTCTTTGACTTATGTATTGTAAGAATGCGTGGTCTCTCACTAGTCGTCTTGGCTTCCCTCTATAGTCTTCCCTAGAATGGCTATTTGTATTACTTAGCTTGTTAATTTTGTTCTAGATTGATTTACAGAGCTCTTACATAAAATGGTGATGATGAATTTCTAAATTCATCTAAATTCTAAATGTGTCTGGAATTTTCTTTCGCTATCATTATTTCACTACTGTGCAACATTCTAACATACTGCATCAGTTTTAATTCTCATCAGTTTCCTGGAACCTCTCCCAAAATGCTGAAATAACGGTCTTGCTTATGATGAACCAAATAACTGGTAATAATTAGACAGCTGGCCAAAATTGGAAAGACTTCTGATATTGAAGACTACAGATCCTTGTGGTTAATCATGAACTCTTCTGGGTGCTACAGACTCAAAACCATCAGTTCAATCGATGCAAGTTTTTCAAAAACTTTGTTCTGACATTCTGTGTACAGGCTTGGTTGGTACAGTGCAGTCTCCCTCCTGCTTTATGTACATTGTCTGAGGAGGTAATGACAAACTTAGTGAGAAGACTGAACTATTTAAATTTTAGGAGGCATCTTTTAATGTCATTGGTGAAGTCCTGATTGATTTTTATGTATAGTCTGTGTATTACATAGCTTGAGATGTTGAAATTGATGTAACCCTGATGAGTTGATAGAGTTGGCATGCCTACCGTTTATAAGCTCTTCATTCTGTAGGCAGATAGTATTTTTTGTATCTGTAAAATACATTGAATTTGAAAGTTTTTATGTTTTTTAAGTGCATATATATTTGTGTCTTTCTCTAATTTTTCCTTCTATTTGGAAGGTGGAAGTTCATTAAATATATGAATTACTGTTATTCTTTCTTCAAGCTCTGTTTGACTGCTCTGTTTAAACTTCTGTCTGAAAGTTTGCCTATTACTACTGACAAAACTTTATCTCTTTAAGACTTCTCATAATCTGAATGTGTTTTTTTTGTTGTTGTTGTTTTTTTTTTTTTTTTCCCTGTACTTCACAGTGTTAGACTATTATAGTGTGATCTTTGCAGGAGAAAACTTTTAAGTAGAAAATAGTAACAAATTTGCAAATGACTTGGATGCTATACCTGGAATTACTTTTGAGGTTCCTGAGGCCATTTTATCAGCAGCAAGAACCAGTAGAGGGAGCTGCAGTAGTACTGTGTGATCATTATCCTGCTTGTTTTTTTTCCACGTCTAGTTTGTTGAGGGGTTTTGTTTTGTTTTTAATTTTCTGTAGCATGTTTCTAAGCCAAAAAATAAGGTAATGAAGTACCGGACGAAACAAAACCAAAATGCTCCATGTATTTACAGTAAAAATAGTGTTTAGGAAATTTCACTTGCAGCAATGGAAGCTGCTGATGTCATTTGCTATCTCTTTGCTTTGATAAAACCAGGGAAAAAAAAGACTTCTGTGTGGTTTCTTAGAAGCTGTGGTGATCTCATCTGATTTCAGCGCTATCACAGGTGAATAGCTCAACCTGAAAAGCTCTGGATTTACTTAGGAAGTACTTAGGGAGTGAGTAAAAACAAGCTTTACCATAAGAAACAAGCACCTTTTTCTTAGCTACTCAGCACAAGGAGTCTTCCCAACTTCCATGTCTTTTTGTATTTGGATAGCTTAGTGTTGGTCTTATGTCCAATAATCTGCAGCTTTTCAACGACATAATGAAATTCCTGAGTCCAAGTAGACTCAGTGATTTTCTTCAATAGTGAGACAGCACTACATCAGCCTCCTTTGTGTCTGACCACAACCCACTAAAACAGGAAGCTATTGATAAATCACAGAATCAGAACAGAATCAGAACTGCCCGAGTTGGAAGGGAATTTTAAAAGTCATCTAGTTCTTATTAACCCCATTTTAGATACTGAAGGGCTGCTCTCAGATCTCCATGGAGTCTTCCCTTCCCCAGGCTGCACATCTCCAGCTCTCAGCCCGTCCTTGGAGGAGAGATGTTCCATTCCTTGGGTCATTTCTGTGGCCCTCCTCTAGACACACTCCAGCAGGTTCATGTTTCTCCTGCACTGAGGACTCCACATCTCAGTGCAATGCTCCAGGTGAGGTTTTCTTCATCCAGCCCAGGAAAAGGTGTAAGGCTCACAGTATGTGCAAAGCGAACCTCTGAGCAGTATTCTTGCTTCCTCTTTTATGTGCAGTTAGATTTGGGAATTATTAATAGGCTTTTTTAAAGCTAGCTGCACAAATATTCTCAATTGTTGAAGGTCATATCTCTTTAATATCTTATATCCTTTATCTTTGCATGACCTTCTCTTTGTAGATGTCTGGCCAACACTAAAAAGGATTTAGTACACATTGTAATGAAAAGCACAAGCCCTCTGCAGATATTTCCGGTGAAGCTGGCTTGGAGCTACTGCTGGAATACTGGTGTCAGCGTCTGTAATAAACATAAGGACAAAATACAGCAGTGCGATGCTGATCCTAATCAACTAAAACAGAAGCAGATGGAAATCCTTATAAATGATGGTCAGGAAAAGCAGCAGGGAGGTGCAGATTTTCCTGTTCTGCATTACATTCAGATGTCGAAGTCCATCCCACTCCGTGCTCTCCTTCCAAGGCTGAGCAGCACTCTTGCGTATATGTGTGTACATGTAAAAAGGGGTGCGTCCCCTTTAAGGCACCGCCAGCTTCAGCTAAATCCATTGGGTGAACGTGGCTCCACGATCTTTCCCGTCACGTGACGCGGTGGCGGGCTCCGCGTTCTTCCCCCGTCACGTGACGCGGTGGCGGGCTCCTCCGAAACGGTGGCGGCTGCGAAAGGTAATGGCGGGGGCGGGCGCGCGGGTTGCAGCGGCGCGGCGCGGCGCGGCGCGGCGGTTGAGGCGGGCCCATGAGAAGTTTGAAAAATAACGCTGGGTTGAGGTGAGGCGGGGGTGGCCCGAGAGTGGAGAACGAGAGGAAACGGGACAGGCCGCTTTCCGACGCGTGTGGTGGCAGAACGCTGGGCCACCTCCCTGCCTTCAGGCTGCGAGTGGCCCCGCTGGGAGCCTCCCAGCACGCAGTACTCGGGGGACCACCCGAGCACGCACTGAAGGCGACAGTTTGCTAGCACTGTGCTGATTTTTTCACCATTATTCTCCTGAATGCTCGGGAGCCTCAGTTCAACCTCCCGTCAGGTGAGGTCAGTCAAGGCCTTGTTTTTAGAGTGTAACGCTGCCCAGGAGAGCGCACAGAAGACTTCTCACTGTGGGAAGGGACTTTGCTGCTTTGTGTGCCCGTGTCCCGTTTGTGTTGCACTCCGTGTCACTAAGCTGTCTGCTTTCCTTCTAGGACGGCTGCAGCCATGGCTATGCAGGTGCAGTTCGAGGCAAACGCCGACACATCTGCAGAGGAGGAGAGCTTTGGCCCAGAGCCCATATCTAGGCTAGAGGTAAAAGGTTTTGTATGATAAGGGCAGTGAGGCATTGGCACGAGTTGCCCAGAGAGGTGAGGGATGCCCCATTCCTGGAGATGTTCGTGGTGAAGCTGAAAGGGCCTTTGAACACTTGATGGAGCTGTAGGTGTCCCTGGTCATGGCATTATTGGACCAGCTGCCCTTAGAGGTCACTTCAAACAATTTTATGCTTCTATCTTTTCCTTGATATTTGTTAGTTACCTTCAATATTTGTTAAATCAACATCTGCTTTTCTGCACTATTTAGAGAGTAGCTCTTGCAAACATTACATTACGACCATTTTTATTTAAAAGACTGTTTGTTTGTAAGTGTTAGGGTGGTACCATTGGATGTGCTGACTTGTAATAAGTTTGATTACAAGTTTGATTTAAATTGTAGAATAGAATCACAGAATTGCTCAAGTTGGAAAAGACCTTCAAGATCATCGAGTCCAACCACGAACTAACCACATTACCCCAACTCTAACAGCCCTCTGCTAAATCATGTCCCTGAGCACCGCATCCAAACGGTTTTTAAACACATCCAGGAGTGGCTCCCTGAGGAGCCTATTCCAGTGCTTAAGCACCCTTTCTGTAAAGAAGTTCTTCCTGATATCCCACCTAAACATATCCTAGTGCAGCTTGAGGCCATCTCCCCTTGTCCATTTGTTTGTAAGTGTTAGAATGATAACACTGAACGTGCTGACTTGTAATAACAGAGTTTGATTTAAATCTAAAGGCAGCTGAAGGTATTCAGTGATTGGTGTTTGTGACTCCTTGTGTCTCTTTTTCCTCTGTTTGTCAGCAATGTGGGATAAATGCAAATGACGTGAAGAAATTAGAAGAAGCTGGATATCACACTGTTGAGTCTGTTGCACATGCACCCAAGAAGGAGCTGTTAAATATTAAAGGCATCAGTGAAGCCAAAGCTGATAAAATCTTGGTAAGGATGTTAAGCAAAAACTTTAAGCTGAGAAAGTCAAGAAGGTTTATTTTTGCTATTTTAAAGTATTCCAGTGATTTTGGAAGGTCTCAATTAACGATAGACCGCGAAGAGTAATAAGGCTTATTAGGGATGTGTTGTGGCTTTTTATGGGAAGAGATCAGAAGAGGCTAGAACCAGCTTCAAGAAGTGAAGGGCTGGGGGGAATAATTAGGAAGTTCTCTAAAAATTGTGGAAGATGTGGAGAGTATGGCCAAGACTGTCATTTCCAGCTCAATATCTCTCATGGTAAGGAGGCTTGAAGCAAAGAAAGCATTTTTTCATACAGGATATGATGGAGTTCCAGAACTACTTGTCCCACAATGCTGTAACCATCAGTATTATGAATGGTTTAATAATGTAACAATACCAAGAGATAAGTATGGTGTTAATGAGATAATCTTCACACAGAGGCACTTGGCGAACTCATAGGAATTATCAGATAGTGAATCAGTTCCTTATTCCCTGACTTGTTCTCCAAGCATCCACTTGTGGCAGTTGTCAAGGCACAGGGTGCTTAGATAGGAACCACTGGGCTGACCCCATACAGTTGTTCCTCTGTTACAACCCACTGAAGCGCAGGTGCAGGTGGCACCTGAGCTTTATAGTACTAATTACTAGGGAGAAAATTAATGGGATGTGCTCTTTCTGCACTGCTTAGTTTGGTTTTCTTTAGGCTGAAGCAGCTAAACTGGTTCCAATGGGTTTTACCACAGCAACGGAATTCCATCAGCGGAGGTCTGAAATCATCCAGATCACCACTGGGTCCAAAGAACTTGATAAACTTCTTCAAGGTAATAACTTGGGTTCTATTCATTGATTAACTTTCATGATCATCTCCCTGTTTCCACTTGTAATCTAAAAGCACAATTAAGTCACTTCAGCTCTTCAGCATCATCAAAAATAAACTTAGCTGAACTTCTCACCTTCAGAATGAGCAAACCTCAATATGAAAACCAGTTTTTCCAATTAGCTTGAAAACTTTCAGCCAAAGTGTTAAACTCAGTCTGTGTTAAATTAAAACTTTGTGTATGCAGTCTTTACTGGAAGTATGTGACAATTTTTTTATTATTTATTTTTTTTTCTTTCTTCCACTTAGGAGGAATAGAAACAGGGTCCATAACAGAATTATTTGGGGAGTTTCGTACTGGAAAAACACAGTTGTGCCATACTTTGGCAGTAACCTGTCAAGTGAGTGATCCACTTTATTAAAATCAAGTATTCAGACAACGCAGTTTTTGTGTATTTGCTAGTTTTATTTATGCCATTTTCTTACAAAAACAACCCCACGTATGCACAGCTGCAAAGAGTGGATTTTATCCGTCCCCAAAGAGATCTCAGAAACTTTTGCAGCAACCATGACTGAACTTTCAGCTTGCAAGGGTCTTTTATTCCTCACTTAACCTGCCTGCTAGGATTACTGTAGCAGCAGTTAAATTTGTTATCTTTTTGCCCATATTTGGCTTATGTTTTGTAGCTTTATTTTGGCCTTAATATTTTGAGCCCATTAACAGACATTAGCCTTGTGGTGTAATCATAGGTCTTAAGCACAGAGAGGTGCTTGAAGCTGAGCTCCTGTCCTCTTGCACAGACATTGAAGACAAGAATCTGTCTTGTCACTTTTCCCAGACAAATGTGACTTTAATCACCATAGCTTGGTACGTTATTTATTATGTGAACATCAGCTGAAGGCATAAAGCAGTAACTAAATTACTTGTTATTGATTTCGTATTCATAAATGTGCTCTTCCTTCAGCTTCCCATTGACCAAGGAGGTGGAGAAGGAAAAGCCATGTATATTGACACTGAAGGCACCTTCCGTCCAGAACGTCTTCTTGCTGTGGCTGAAAGGTCTGTACTTACATCTGGAAGTAAACAGGCATTAGGTGAAGAAGGGAATGTGTTTCCTAATGGTGAGGCAGCCTAGTTAAAATCAGCCAGGCTCTTTACATTCATTGGACTGTTAGAGTAAGTAATCCTTAAGCAACAGCTCCTTCCTGCCTCCTGGGTTCTATCACTGCCTACCTAGATGCTCTTTAGACCAGTTCATTAGCTGTATTTTATAAAGTTTCTATTTTTACTTAGCTATGACATAAGCTAACATCATTGTTTCTTGGCATATGTTTTCACTTAATATCCCCCTCAAATTTAGTTTTACAGTTGGTGGCATACCAAGATTTTCCTTAAATTCTACGAATATTTTGTAACAAAGATTCTTGTACAAAAAGTTTATCTTAACAGCACATGGAATTTTTTTGTTGAGAAATGTTTGAGTCATCCCTGACCAGTTGGAAGACAGTTTTCTTATCTCCTGCCTCTACTTCATAATACCTCAGAAGTGTCTTGTACACAAATCAGGGATAAGGTAATTAACTGAGTTTCCTGAAGGCAATAAAAACTGCTGGATACATGCAGATTCTTGTTATACTTAAATATCAAACTAATATGAGCTGTGCTGGTCCACAAGAGTTGTTCCCTTTTCTTTAGAGGGGAAATTGACCTAATCAACTTATCATCCTGCATGAATGAAATAAAGTCAAGTTATTGAAAGGTAGCAGTAACTCCTGTTGGTGAAGTTTGTTGCTGAAGACTTTTGTCACTGATGTCTCTAGGTATGGCTTGTCTGGCAGTGATGTCCTGGATAATGTGGCGTATGCTCGAGGCTTTAACACAGATCACCAGACCCAGCTCCTCTATCAGGCATCTGCTATGATGGCTGAATCACGGTAATGAGACCTCATCTTAAGATGGGGTGATTTTTGTGCTGGTACATTATAAACATGCTTGTACAGTTCTCTTGCACTGGTTCATCACCTGCACTACATGACTGAATTGTCAAAGTAACAGCTTACATTTGAAGTTGTTCTCAAACCTTTGCTTTGACACTTGCATGCAGTAAGTTTTGTGTATCAACTGAGATGTGTGAGTAATTTAGTTGTGAGTTAATACCTGTTCCTTTTGAAATGTTGGATGGTAGCAACTGACTTGAGCTATGACAACTGACTTGACTTGACAAAGAATGAGTGCCAGCCTGAGAAACAACTTTAAAGATCACATTATATAATTGCTTTCAGAAAGAGAGTTGATGTAGAGCAGTGCAGCTGTTGTGGTTTAGCCTGGCAGGCAGCTAGCACCAGCTGTTCACCTCCCTAACCCCAAGAGGGTGGGGGAGAGAACTGAAAACAGTAAAAATGCAAGAACTCTTGGGCTGAGATAAAGACAGTTTAATGAGAAAGAAAACAAAACACAACTGCTACAGAAAATGATGGCGCAGTGTAGTTACTCGCTACCTGCTGAGCAATGCTCTGCCTGTCACTGAGCAGTAGCAGTCTCCCCCAGTTTTGTTGTTCAGCATGATGCCATTATATATGGTATAGGATATCCCTTTGGCCAGCTTGGGTCAACTGTCCTGGCTCTTTTCTAGCTCCTTGCAGGCAGGGCAGCAGGAGGAGCAGGAGAGTCCTTGACTCAGTGTAAGCACAACAACTAAAACATCAATCTATTATCAACATTTTTTTTTACCTTTTTTTTTTTTTTTCCCAGAACAGTAGCATACCAACCACTGTGAAGAAGATTAACTATCCCAGCCAAAACCAGGACGTGTGCAGATAGCTTTAGTTTGAAACTGAGGTTTATAAGACCCTTTAGAAGGAAGGGGGTGGTGATATAAGATACACAGGGGCCTGTTTACCTGCAGAATACCCATGTAAAACACCTTACAAAGGGTTTTATTTCATAGTAATCTGAATGCTGCAAATTGTGGTGTTAAAAATAACACTTCTGCTAACTGGTAGGTGAGAAGGGCTTATATCCATCCACATCTGCGTGCAGCTTACAGTTGACTCAGATGGTCACATTATTCACCTCTGAAAACAATTCTGAGAATGCTTTATGTAACTTTTCCAGGTATGCACTGCTGATAGTGGACAGTGCAACAGCTCTGTATCGGACAGATTACTCTGGAAGAGGTGAGCTGTCAGCGAGACAGATGCATCTGGCCAGATTTCTGCGTATGCTTCTCCGACTTGCAGATGAGGTAAATGCTGAACTTTGCTCCCTAGGGGACTGGTGATTGATTTTGTTTCTCTTGTGAAGCTCAGCAATCTTGTACAAAAGGTGTTCTGCCTGCTCGTTGTCTGCTTCTGTTGTATTTTAAGAGTGAGTATCACCTGCAGAGAGGAGAGCAGAGCAGAAGTACAAGCATGGGGTTTTTTTGGTTTTTTTTTTTTGGTTTTTTTAATTTATTCAGGTGGTGGAAAGTGATTTTGCTTTGTTGCTTTTCTCCTAGTTTGGTGTGGCTGTTGTGATCACTAACCAAGTTGTGGCACAAGTAGATGGAGCAGCCATGTTTGCAGCAGATCCCAAGAAACCTATTGGAGGAAATATCATAGCCCATGCGTCCACCACCAGGTGAGAGAACAGATTATCATCTTCCATTAGCTTTATTTTGGAAGATTTTGTGTCACTGAATACATACTTTTTAATTCCGGGTCTCTCTTTGGTCTGCCAGTGTCACTTACAGTCTGCTTTGCAGAAACTCTGAGCAGGTTCAGTTCTTACAGTTCAAAGTGTGCTACATTCCATGTAACGTTTCAATGTAATGTTTTAATAATTGCTATCAGGATTCTCTGGAAGAAGGCTATACCTCTTTTCTTTCTTCTTCCCCCTCAGACTTTATCTGCGAAAAGGCCGAGGTGAAACCAGAATATGTAAAATTTATGACTCTCCTTGCCTTCCTGAGGCTGAAGCAATGTTTGCTATTAATGCTGATGGAGTGGGAGATGCAAAAGAGTGAAGACTTCATCTCATTCCCCATGTAAACTAAGACTGGGTGGCCACAATCGGCTCCTGTGATGGAAGCTTTCCCAATGCACCTGCTGTTCAAATGCTGTCCGAGGATTCTGTTGTATGTCAGCATACATGTTCATCATGTGAATCCAATTTGAGACACGTCTGCAGGTGTTGCTTGGAAGAGACTGGGTTTTAGTCAAGTGTTAGGTTAATGTGTGGTTTCTTGAGAATATTTTCAGAGCACCATATGCTTGAAGTTTTCTTCACAGCTGTTGCTCCCATTGAGTTCTACAGGTGGACATAGCACCTGTGATCTGAAAATTTGTGGCAATAGTTTGTAATTTAATGACTTTGAAGTAAGTCAGGTAAGAAACGTGGTGGCTTGAGAACATAACAGGTTGCCTTAATAATTAGTTACAAAATAAAGCAGAATAGCATTCCACAAAAAGCATGTGTGAATATTGCTGTGTCTGAGATTATCATCGACCCCTAATCTTTTTGTTAATTTTGCTTTGAATTCTGCAATATGCTGCTTTTTGGGAACTGCTAATTTACATTTCAATGATGTTGTTTATTGTATGTCATTATTTCTCTCTGGAAATCTGCTTTTTAATAAAAAGACCATGAAAATATTGATGACATTACAGGCGCCTGGACTTTAGCCAGGTGCTAATTCAAACTTAGGTACTCTTTGCCTGCAGGTAGGGAAAAGATCTTCAGTGACTCTCAACGTGGGGTGTTTTTTTTTTTTCTACAAAACTTCATTTCCTTTTCTGAGACGTGCTGTACAGCTGCTTGGTTGCTGACAGTTGCCCTATATACTGGTGAAACTGTGACCAACTGTAAGACCCTGTCCTTGCACTCTATGTGCTGCTGGTGGCCGACACCTGGCAGTGGTTTGTTGTAGGCTGACATGACTTGATCACAGTGTTAGTGTTGTACAATTTAATCTAACAGAACACATTATTCTTTTCAAAGTCTCTGAACAACTGAGGTAACCTCTGAAGTTCCCTCTGTTCATCCAATGCTTAGCATGCAAACTGCTTTCTCTGTAGTCCACAGCACTTCTCTAGGTCAAGCTGAAAGGTTTGTAACTGCCACAAAACCTAACAAAATGGGAAAAATTTTTCCTCTTCTCTAAGCTCTTATACAGCCCTCTAAGCTTTTATACAGCCCAGGCTTGGAGCTCGGTGGGATTTGGGTCTTTTCTTTTTAGCACAAGAACCTTTAGGAATGTCCTCAAGTTATCTGATGACATCCCATGGCAAGTATTTCCATAAAGGGTTTAAGTTGCTTGTGACTCAAGGCTATGTAACATTAATTAAAATAAGCTTATTGTCAACATTGCTTTCATCTCAAGGAGCTACAATTAATAATATTTTGGAAACATTTTTCCTACCTTTCATTGAAGTATTTGTTTCTCAAAAACTCTAAAACTCCCCTTAAAGAAGCAGAATATCATTAGAAATCTTAACTTTAAAAGCTCTTAGAAGTTTTTGTCTGTTTGTGCAACCATCTGGCTTGCATTCACCCAGCCAACTTTTGCTCTGTTAGAACTCTCACCTAGAGGTGAGAAGGGATTTATCGTTGAAGTGTGTGCAGAAATGGGTGCGTTGTTCTGAACTACTCATTGTTTCAGCCTTTATTTTCAAAGGAAATTAATTGGTGTTTCTTTCCCCAATTTCAAATTCTCTCTAAGCCACTTCAAAGCACAGGAGGGGCAGCAATATGTGCTGGGGAAGCAGAAAGGAGGTTGGAGTCTAAGGCTTGTATTTTGGGGTTAAATGATGGGATGTCTCTCTCTGATGTTTCACAGCCACGCTCAGGAAAGCCCCCAAACAGGCCAATGGCTAGAAGGAAATGCCTCATTTATTTTATTTATTTTGAAATACGTAACTGAAATTGGATGCTTTCATGAAGAAGTCAAATCCTACCAAACCAAAATAGTATGGGGAAAAAACACCTTTTTTTTTTTTTTTTTTTTTTTTTTTTA